TCCCTGCTTCCAGGGGGTACGGACTCGAGCAGACCCCTTCTGAACAGCCTCTGCTTTGCCACTTTGTTTTAAGCGTCAGCCTGGCTGCGAAGCAGGTTGTTTCAGGATTTTGGCTCGATTATTGCTCAGCCAAGAAACAGGGCTACTTTGTTGCGTGGCTGTCACCCTCCGGTGACCCTCAGCTCTCAGGTTTGCGAGAGTCGCCTCCATGGAGGAGTTTTATTAGAATAGATTCTGGTTGGTGTAATGTTTGTGTACGTGACAATGGTGAAGTAGAGCAGGCCCAGACGTTTTTTTCAGAAATACTACTACTGCCTCTTATGTCCCAAGAAACTTATTTTTACATCTAAACCTCTTTTTTTAGATTTTTTTTAAATTTATTTTTCACATCTACCGTAACTCGGGACAGTCACCCTTTCTCTCATCAAAATTTAAAATACAGATTCTTGGTTTCAGGGGCACAGAATAAAGTATTTCTTCTAGGGCCTTCCTCGGTCGGTCTCAGCTTTGTTTACTTGTGGCTCTGCTGGGGGAGGACAGGTGGGAAAACTGTCCTCTGAGTCTTGGTGGCTCACTTGTGGCAGCTGTCCTGGGAGCTGGAATGGGAACAGGCCTGTGGGTATCCTCAGAAAAATAGCAGCCAGGTGCATCGGGAAGAGACTCCTCGCGCATAGTCTGCTTCTGCCACCGGTGTATGTTGGATAGCCTTTCCTGCCAGGCACCGTTGGATTAAAGCTGTTGTGTTCTGCCGTAGCCTTCTGATGGGATCAGCAAGGGCACCGTCTAGGCCTTAAGACTTAAATAAATCTAAATTTAAGACAAAACATGGCCTATTTTATAGTAAGGATTATGTGATGTGAAGGCTGCAGTGGCAGAAGATGGCTTGGCTCAGCAGGTCACTTCTCATCCAGTCTTCTGAATGTATTAACTCACATACTTTGCTTAAGCCTCCCTGAATTAATTTGGGATCAAAGATCCTGCCTCTTCTGGTTTAAATGCAAGAGAAAGAAGGGGCTCAATTAACCGAAAGGGTGACATTTGCATAGCTGGGAAGAGGGTTTCCTTCTAGGCAAAAAGACATAATGAGATTGTGAAACTTGTTTGGAAAGTCACTGAGGCCAAAAAAAAGAGTCCTGGATAGTCTTGCCTGTCCTCTGTAAAACGCATGTTAATGTCAGCAGCGTTCCAGGGGCACGTTAACACAGAGCGAGATGATCTCAGCAGCAGAATTGTAATTGGGATAGCCAGGGCTTACTCGTTTTAAACAACACTGGCCTGTAAAACATTTATTCTGTCATGAGTCGCATGTTCAACTTGAAATCCTGACTCGGAGTTTCAAAAATCTTAAACTGAGACATTTGAGGGTGGAGGAGGGGAAGAAGTGGAGGAGGAAAGATTATTGTAAGCCTGCCTCCTGCAGACTTCTTATCCCTCCCTGTGATCCACGGAGCAGGTGGAAAACTGCTGTTCCTGCCTGACCCTGAGCAGCAAGTCTTGTGCTCCTCCGAACAGGAGTACCTGGGCCAGTGCTGTTACTGTACAGGCTGGCTGGGTTGAATTCTCTATTTATGGTTTGATGATTGAGTCAAACTTCCAAGTTTTTTAACATCCCTGTTGTAGTTATGTTGGTCTTTGTTTTCCTGATGTTTGTAGGTATGTTTTGTGGTATGAATGATCTGTTCCAGGATTTCAGTTATGAAAATGTTTCTTTCTTGTTCTAAATGCCATTTAGGTCAATGTAGTGAGTATTCATTCTATTAAAAATTCTTTCTAAATAAAAAAAAAAATAAAAAAAAATTAAAAAAAAACCAAACCAACCCACACCACTTTTAAATGTGTCTTATATTGTAAAGCTGTTTTCAGCATCTTTGAGTACCTGCTGCAATAATTCCCAGATTAGGAGCTCCCAAATAGCATTGGGAATCTGCTGGAAGTAGAATTTGTAGAAGTGGATCCACGCTGAGATGCAGAGTCAAATGGATAGAAGCAAACCTGGATGTGAGGCCAACTATAAAAATGTCGGGGCTGCTGATCCATTTGACTGGCACGCGGCGCGTTTGCTGTGGTGATTGCAAATCTGAATTGTTGAGGATACTTATCCAAAAAACCCACCACCGTGCCATCCGTTATTACAGGTCTGCTGACTGTTTTGGTTAAAAGACCTTGAGGTTTTGGGGAGATGATGAGCAGGATGGGAGGATTGCCTGCTCCCTTGCTTGTTGTCTGATCTGATTTTAGCGGTAGCGCTTGTTCCTGGGACTGTCACATGTGACAGAACTCTCATATGCAGCACAAGAGCACGGTATCCAGCGTTTGCTCATTTTCCCTCTGGTTGGTGTGACCCCTTCCCTGCCCACACTGTCCCACCGCTCCCCTGACTGCTTTGCTTTGCTCCCAAAACCACCGACCCCTCTCACCCTGTGGGGCCACTTGCCCGGATCCTTGCCTCTGCAGGGGCAGAGAGGCTGCTCCGACTGCCAAGAACAGAGGGATGAAGCATGACCAGGTGTTGTGGAGGACAAAATGAATATTGCAGATACTAAAGCAGTGTGGTGGAACTGATGCCTTACCTTCTTGATAGGAGCAAATGAGCTGTTGCTACTAACTACTCAAAGGCTTTCTGAGAAGCAGTTAAGACAAATGGACGTTGGAAACTGTTTGTGCTGCCACACTGTCACTGCTTTTGTTGGAAGTACTGCGTTTATGATCTAGAGATGTGACTGTCCAAGACCTTTAGCTCCAGTGGTGATCATGTGCAGGAGGCTGCAATCACAGCACTGTGTAAGAGGCTCCTGCTCTGGAGCTGACCATGGGGACAAATTCTTTTATTCTTCATTTCTTGGTTGACTCTTAAGTGAGGAAGCTGCTGCAGCAGATGTATTTTGAAGCATTATATTTGAGAGCCCAGCCTTTATGAATTGTTGACTCTGTAAAGTCTTGCATGGTAAATCTTGCTGGCTGAGCTTGCCTTACTAGAGCCCGTCAGAGACAAGCTGCTTTGGTTCAGCAGAGGACTAGTGTGGCTGATGTCCCCTGGCAGAGAGGAGTAGTGGTCAGAGAGACTTAAACCAGTGGAAGGGAGACAGGGGTGAGGAGAGGCTGGAGTCACTTGGGCAGCGCTGGGTGTGCGAGGTGTCCTGGAGGTTCTCTGAAAACGGTTGCACTGTGATGGCTTTGGTTCTGGTCAAGGCTCTAATGGACCAGTCTGAGCAGTGGGTGTAGTTCAGTGCATTGGCATCTTTTGCTCAGGTGAACTCCTGGGATCGTTTCCTTTCCTTTGTTTCAGACCAAATCAGCTTTGAAGCTCTGTTTTCGTTCTTGTACACTGTGCTTGTATTCCATCAAGTCTGGAGCACAAAACAAATTGTAGCTTGCAGTTAAAGTCAGATCATTGTTGAAACTGATCTGATTCAAAAATAAATCCCTTATTGCCTTTATTTTAAATTTCAGTGATCTTTAATGCTTTAAGTGTAGGTAACTTTAAGCATACACAACTCGGTGGTACTTTTCATCAAGGCTTTGGTACTGTTTTCAGGTATATGTCTCAAGGGAAACATGCAGAAGCAAGAGAACTAATGTATTCAGGGGCTCTGCTGTTCTTCAGTCATAACCAGGTAAGTCACTCGTGTGTGTGGTTTGGGGCAGGGGGGTGTTATTCCAAGATTTGGAGGGGTGATTGGTGAATTTCCAGTGGTAAATGTTTGGGGTAATTGCTTTGTAATCTTTTGTTTTGTCTCTTTGTTGAGCCTTTCTTCACAAAGAAGGATTGTGCCAAACTGGAACATAAAGGAGAAGTGTTTGTGAGCATCCAACAATAATCGTAACCACATTTGTTTTGCTTTCCTGGAGGCTCCTCTTGATGCTGTCAAATCACTGTGGTTTTTTTTATAAGGGAAGGTTGAGACTTGGGACTGTGCCTTAGGTGTAGATGCTGATAAAAGCATTAAATCTGCCTCTGACAAAACTCTGGTTGATGTTTTCTTTTATGTACTGATATGTTCATCACTACCAGTATGTGTCTGTTTTGTAGCAAAACAGTGCTGCTGATCTGTCCATGCTGGTTTTGGAGTCTTTGGAGAAATCGGATGCAAAAGTAGCAGATGACCTTCTAGGTGAGGTGACCTTTGTGCTCAGTTTGATGCTGTTGAGATGTGCTTTCACTTCACAGTGACCGTTGTTAACAGTCTTGAAACCTGAAATCCTTTTTATATGTGCTCCCACATGGCTAAGGGCTACCTTCATCATAGAAATGGACCAGGGGAAAACTTCCTTAGAGAATAGTGGATTGCAAGTAACTTGGTGGGCATGTTTAGAACAAACATTGCTGTCCTGTGGCGTTGTCCTTTCCTCGATGCAGCAGTAATGCATTGTCTGCACCATCGTTGATGTCCCCAGGGCTTTGGTGGACGGTGGTTTCTCACCCTAGCGGTGTGGTAGTGTGTACGTTATTTGTGATTTAGCTGTTCACAAGGAAGTTTTTGTTTGAGATTTGGTAAGCAGGCAGCTGAGGGAGACCTTCTGAAGAGCTGCCTGGCCAGACTGCTGCTGCAACATGGGCTAGCTGCTCCTGTTAACAGCCTGTGGATGGAGGCACAGACAGAAGTCGCTCTGATGTTTCGCATCCCATCTGTGACTGCTGGTGGTGCTTTTCCAAACTACAGCCTTCTGTCCCTCAGCTTCCCTGTGAATGGCAAGCAGTCCCATAACCTGCAGTCTTTCCTCCTCCTTGCTGCTGCGTGGTCCTCTGGGCTGTTCTGTCCCAAATGATGAGGCAGGGAAGCTGTCACCAGCTGGCCGCAAGGCTCAGCCTTTGGCTGTGGAGGAGTCACATGAATATTGCTGGCTGATAGGCAAGGTTGACGTGCTGTACAAGAAGGGGCTCGAGTTCAAAGTCACTCTTTTTTAAGGTGGCTTGTGGAGGCTGTAAGGGAGCTTAAAGACACGATAGCACTGTAGCTTAAATGTTGTATCTTAAAGGTGCGCTAGAAGCAGCTGTTCATCCTATTTCTATTAATGCTAAATATTTGTGAATCTTATTGCTTCTAGAAAACTTGGCTAAATTGTTTAGTTTAATGGATCCAAATTCTCCCGAAAGAGTGGCTTTCGTCTCCAGAGCACTAAAATGGTCTAGCGGGGGATCAGGAAAACTTGGACATCCAAAACTACACCAGTTACTAGCAATTACCTTGTGGAAAGGTAAGAAAAATCAGCTGGATTTTCTGTGTTCTGTTTTGAAAATGTTGAAAGTATGATATTGTAAGAGATCTACTTGGGAAATGATCTAAGGAAGCTGAGATGGAAATGATTGATTGAGTTCTGCTGTTACCTGATTTTTGCAATAACTTCAACTTAATGTTACTAACAAAAACCCCCTGGGGCTGTAGCTCTATATTAGTGCAAAACCCAAAACACAACTGCTGTAAAGCTCGCTGTAAAAGGAAGGTTGATCCTTTAGACATTGAGGTAGTTTGATTGAGTCATTAGGAGTAAAACTGCTGGGCACCAAAGCTGTTCTATTGTGGGGTTTTTTTTGATTTTAAATCCTGCATAAACATGACAAAGATTGAAATACATCACCTAGCATCCAAACCAGTCTTCAGACCTGTAATTAGGTACCTTTTGAGACGTTGACCAGCAGGCTTATTCCGGAATGAATGCTGCTGCCTTTGTTTTATGTGGGGTTTTATCACTTGGGATGGGATGTAAGAAACCAAAAATCCACTAAATAATTATTTTAATTGTGGTTTTAAAAGTTTTTTAAAGTCTGATGTTCAAAACATAACAAAGGTGAGTGGGAACAGTTGAATAAATGCCATCTCTTCTGTGGTTTTATGGTGAATTAGTAACTGTGCAAGAAGATTGTTTATTTGAAATTTTTCAGTAGCTGCAAAGTGATGATAGTGGTGTCATGTAACAATCCTGACCCAATGGTCAGCATTCCGGTTCATTGCCTTTCTGCGTGCCACAGGCAATCCCATAGCTGTTCTTGTGGGACTTACGTTAGCTTGACGGCTGCTGCCAGCCAGAAAGGGAGGATTTTCCTCAGAGCATTTACATTAGAAGCCAAAATACGATTAGGGTAAGAAACGGTTGCATTCTGAAAGGGAAGATCCCCATTTTGTAGCTTGCTGTTCTTTTGAAGAGCAAAATGCGTACGTTTTCTTGGTCTGTAGTTTTTGAGACTTTAATCAGAAAAGGCTCAGATTTCTAAAACCAAGCTTTTAAATTCCAAAGATTAGCAGCTATCCAGTTTTCATTTGTCATTGCTGTGATTTTGCACGATGCTTTCCTTCAAGTTAAGTTCTAACAAATCATTGCCATTTCTTACACCTTTTTTTCCTGTATAATTGCTGTTCTATTCAGCATATGGAAGCAATTTTAATCTCGATAGCAGGAGTGGGCTAAGCTAAAAATAGGAAATGCCTTCTTTCTGTGCACTTAGGAAGAAGGACGCTGAAGGTGCTGTTTGACTTCTTGGTGCACATGGTCTAATATGGAACTTCTTGATTCTTCCCCTAAGCACTGATGATAGCAGCTGAAGTGTCAACATGCAGTTAGATAAAACACTGTGACTGCAGCTCAAGCTGCTTTTCCCAGCAGTAACTGTGTTTTGTGGTGCCATTGAATAAACTATATTTAATACCAGTTGTTCAAATGTATTTAGGATAACATATTTATTATTTCCCTTTATAAATTGTCTGGAACTTACAAAGGAAATAGCCTGCTCTGGTTTTGCCAGTTGTCCTGTTTATATACCATGTGTGTAGCTCTTGTCCTTTTACCAGCTGTAGTGTACAAGCCTAACAAATTTGTTTTTACAGGTGTGATGAACTGATCTCTTAAAAGCCATTTTCTTTTTCCTTTTATAGAGCAAAACTATAGTGAATCTCGGTATCACTTCTTGCACTCCACAGATGGCGAAGGATGTGCAAATATGCTAGTAGAATACTCCTCGTCCAGGGGATATCGCAGTGAGGTGGACATGTTTGTAGCGCAGGCAGTACTACAGTAGGTGTTAAACTTTTTTTAAACTGTTTTGCTGAGATGATGTTGTGTTTGAGGCCAATCTAATTTAATCATGACAACTGTAGGTTAACCATGCATCCTTTTCAAAAAAGAAACTGTGAAGCTGGCCAGAGCTTCTGAAACTCACTTGGTGTGGTAACAACAGGGAAAAAAAACATCTCAAAACTGCTGTGTTGAGTTGGTCAGACTGGGGAGAGAAAAAAGCCAAACCAACATATTAAGGCTGAAACCCGAAATCATGTTAATTGCCTGAGAATTAATGAAATCTGTTTGACCCTGAAAGCACAATTCTTAGCTTTAACACCATTTTATGCCTAGTTAGGGCTTACCTTGATGTTCTTACCAAGACTGAGCCTAAGCAGGCTCTGTATTTACCTTTAGCGAGGTGCTTGCTCTTGGTCTCGTCCTAAGAGACAATTTGTCTCGGGTCACCCTGGCCTGTGAGCAGCAGTGCAGTGGTTCTTGGTTTGACAGAGTTGCTGGTGGCTTTCATATACTTCAAGCATTTATTTTGTAGGAGGTGGGAACGCGAGCTATTATGTGCCTTTGCAGAGCTTATGTACAATTAAGGTTGACAAAGCCAATTTTACTGCGTTTAATCAGCTGATGGCTTTCTTCAGGCAGGGAAAGCAGCTCATGGAGGAGTCTGAGGAGGAGGTGGAGACAGGACTGTGCAGCAGGGAGTCAGGGAGAGAGTAGGTGTTGGGGGAGAGGGAGGAGGTGAGAGCGAGTCTGTCTCTTCTGGCAGCAGTGAGCTGTCGCGTCAGATTTGTCCTGCTTTCCATAGCTGGTTGATACAGACTGCAGTGATTTTGAGCAGTAGAAGGTGCTTTATGGAAATCCAGCATATGCAGGACTTGAACAATTTTATGAGGCTTTGTTCTGGAGGGGGGCAAATTCTAGGGAGAAGTTATCAGTAAGAGATTATTTTTTTCGGTATTTATTCGGCATTACTGCTGCATCCTTCACTGGCCTGTATCTCAAATACTGAACTAAATCCTCTTACATAGCAGTTTATACTCTAATGAAAATAATTGGAGTTCCTCGTTTAGCAGTAAGGCAAAAGAGCCCAATGCCCTTGTGAGGGTCAGAATTGGAGGACAGCCTGCAACCAGAAATGAGACTAGGCAGCCTTCCCTGTGCTTGCTGGCAGCATTTGTCCCAGATAAAGTCTCTTGTTAGGCCTATGGGACTTGAAGGGATTGCCAGTTAAATTAACTGGACCTGAACAAAGATTTGATCAGTTTGGGAAATTGATCTCTTAACTGGTGACAAATGGCTCGGGAGCTCAGAGTGTAGCTTTATTGTGAGACTTTTGGACACGTGAGTCAATTTTAGTGGTCCTGATGCCGTGTTGTTTTGAGGTAGTGCTCAAACAGAACAGTGGAGTTGTAGGATACTGGCAGACACATACTGAAAGGAGATGTATTTGGGAGTGGATGGGGCCAGGAGGGAGGTCTTGTAGTTCGGTTTTTACCTCAGCATGGTAAACTCTGGACCAGTAACTGCAATATCATGTTTAATGTGAACTACGCGGTGGCCAGTCTTTCCACATTTTAATTTAATTGATGCCCTTTTTTTTGTAACCATCCCATATACAATCTGCTTAGTTCTTGGTTAAACTCATTCTATTAATATTTAAGGTCAGTTCTCCCTCCCAACCAGCTTATTCTACAATGTCGTTTAGTAGCGATTTTCCCCTTCCTGGGTTGATGGCCAAGCCATTTCCAGAGATGTACATCTCTACCAGTTAGTTTCTGCCATCAGCTTAAGCTTGAGATGGCTTCTATGTGCAAATGAAGTCAAGATTGTTGAGCTTTTGGCTTCTGTTTTTCTTTCTGCATGTAAAACTACTTCTCTACCTTTTATTTTTAACTTGCTCTGTTCTGTTTCCTTTTACAGATTTCTCTGCTTAAAAAACAAGACCAGTGCGTCGGTTGTTTTTACGACATACACACAGAAACATCCTTCGATAGAAAAGGGTCCGCCCTTCGTTCAACCACTACTAAACTTCATCTGGTTCCTGTTGTTGGCAGTTGATGGGTACAGTCTGATTTTTCTCATGTTGTTCTTGGTTTCCTTTTCAGTTGTTACTGAGATTACATGTTTGCTTGTTTCCTTTCTAGAGGAAAACTAACAGTATTTACAGTATTGTGTGAACAGTATCAACCTTCATTGAAAAGAGATCCCATGTATAATGAGGTGAGTTACTCGTAGCTGTAAACAGGATTTAACCTACAGAGTTAGTTAAATAATAGCTGATTGTCTTCTGGTTTGTGACTTGGAGATCAGAGTTGGTGATCTAGCTTGTGCGGTGTCACTGCTGCCCATGGTATTGCCACCTGTAAACGAAGTAGCTGACATTGTTCTTCCTCTTGTGTTGTTTCAGTACCTAGATAGAATAGGACAGCTTTTCTTTGGTGTTCCGCCCAAGCAGACCTCATCCTATGGAGGATTACTAGGTAAGGGCTGTGCTGACAGGGGTTTATAGATGCCACCAGTCGTGCCGGAGCAGTGGCTTACGTTAAACGGCTGCGCTGGAAACAGACAATTTGTTCTAACAAATACATCGGGGGGTTTTCCACAATCTGTAGAAACAGTCCTTGATGTAGAATACAAGGTGAATTTGTTGCCTGTGAAATTAATTGGGTGAAGCTTGTAGACTTTTCGTCTTTGAGAAGGGAAGAAGCATGTAAATGACTCTTAGAGTTAATTTTTGACATTATGGTATAACCTCCAGATGTAAACAAAAGCCTTATTTGTGTTAAAGCTGAATTTCCTCAGTGGCTAATTTTCTTTATGTCAAGTCTTTGAGGTGAGAATGTAAAACTAGCAGTTCTGACTGTCCTGTGTTTTATTCTAGGAAATCTTTTAAACAGTCTGATGGGAACTGGAGAAGATGATGACACAGAAGATGGTCAGGAAGACAGCAGTCCTATCGAGCTCGACTGAATGTTGTCATTGGGTGCCGTGTAAATCTGATGATTCGATGACTCCAAAGACAGTTTTGGAATTTGAATCCTGCAGTTGTTTCTTGGCGCCTAAAAGGGCTCCTCTGGTCTTTTAGAAATGGTTGCTGAAATGTTTATAATGTTTGGTCTATATTATTTATGTAAAAAAAGAGAGAAGCCAACAAAAAGTAGCCAAACAAACCCATCGGAGCAATTGTTAGCAGGTTTCCGATACAGTGGCTGGTGACTTTGATTAAAATATAGTCTTCTACGGTTTCTGATGCAGTATTCCCTTTTGCACAGTAATTCAATAAAGCATAAATATGGGTCTTGTACTTCATGGCCTAAGAGAAAGCTTCCTTGGTCTCTGCCACCTCCAAGGACGATTTCAAAAGGCAGGGTGATCAATTGAATAATTTATTGACGAGGCTGGTGCCAAAAGTACTGCGAGATGAGCCAACCAGCATGATCTGAGATGCACATCCAAGAGACATTGATACCAAGAACTCGCTTCCACTGCCATGAGTAACATGCACGCCCCTCACACTGCCTCTCACTGCCTAAGGTCTGGCTCTGGCCAAGCCCATGCATGTGTTTAGCCGATACTTCCTGAAAAGCACAAGATTGAACTGCTCTTGAGTAAAAGCTGACCAGTGGAGCGTAGGTAATTGGCCTCCGTGTGGATCTCTCTTGCCTAGGTATAAAAATTTGCCATCTAAAATACCTCCTCTGGCTCGTGGCTCTGCTCCTTTGGAAGAGATTCTTTTTCAGTGAAAGTTCACAACCATACGTAAAGGCGACGGCGTTCTAGTGAATGAAATGATTGGCCACGAGCAATGTATGTGTTGGAACTGCAGCTGTAGGTAAAGAAAAGGGATACTGCAGACCTTCTGATTCTTTATGATATATTTATTTTTCTTGGGTGATTGATTCATTTAACACTTTCTGTTAAAAAAAGAATAAATCAATAAATAATGGAGTAACTTCACCCCCAGTGGTAGGCATAGCCATTCTACATCTCCTCTCTAATGCAGCACAGCAGCTGTCAGTGGTACAGTGGACAGATGAAATAATGGGGAAACGCTTTATTTTTTCACGATGAAAATAAAAAGGCTTAGATTAATAAACAGCAATCATGCATGGGGGAGGGTGGGCTTAATACAAATTTATTGACTGTATGAAAAAAGAAAAGGCATTGAAAGGAAGACTTTGTGTTAAATGTGAAGTCTCAAATAAACACTTTATACCAGGATGTGTGATTGATAGTGCTGTTGTCTAAGAGGTGTATGAGCAGAGATCTGACCTTCCTTCCTCGGGGGTTTGGTGGGGGTGGTTCCCCCTGCCCCGCATTTGACTGTAGGTCAGTGCTGCAGCTTTAACTGCAGCGAAGCCAGGGAGTCAGTCGGGTGGTGTTGGGTCGCTTGGATTTGCAGCAGGGTCAGGGGAGAGCCCCCTGCTCGGGGGGTGGTGTCAGCACGTAATTAATGCTGTGGGGCGCTGGCAGCGGGTCAGGGCCGTGTCACATCGCTGCCTTTGGCTGCCACCAAACATGCCTGGCTTGGGGCAGCTCCAGGTGTCCTGCACGCACAGCTCGCGTGTTCTCCCTTGGGTGGGCCCAGCCAGGCCGCAGCTCTCCAGTTATCCACAAGCGTGTGGAGATATGTATGTTTATATGCAAATATATTTATAAATTACATACTTTATACCTAGGTAAAAACATGCATGTGTGTATATTTATAATACATAATTATCTTATAAATTTACTATTATAAAAATGTCCATACTTCCGCAGATGTGTGTGTGTGAAATACATTTCACTTACATGTTTGTAAATTAAATGTACATGTCTAATGCTGGCTGCATATATCCATGCATGTGTTCATAGGAACTACTCGGCTCCTACACACACACACACAGAGACACATGTACTCTCTCTCTCTCTCTCTCTCTCTATATATATAACAAAAATATGCTGTATCTATGCACAGTTCAGAGTTGTGTCTGTGAATAGTCAACAACTCTTCCATAGAATTTATTTCTATATTCCTAAGAAATAAATATATATATATCTTTTGTGTATGTGTGTGCATACATAAATATAAAATTTAGTATCAAATACAATATAACACACACATATACACAAGTGAGTACAAGATACAGTGCACCATATAATATACATGAATAGGTGTGGGTAGTTTACATGAAATATATTTTCCTGGTATACACACATATATGTGCACAGCTGCCCGCTGCCCCCTGCACTAAGCAGCCCTGGGCAGCGGGTGTCAGGCAGTGGTTTTGTGGGTGTCCCAGACTCCCAGGGCTCTCCCTGCTTGTTCTCCTTTGCTGGGTGTTTTTTTTTTAAACCCCCCTCCCTCCCCTGCCCCAGCATGACACGGCCACAGCTCTGACATAATAATTTATTGGTTCGAATGACATTTAGTACCACGGTTGTCTTACCAGTGACAGAACGAATGCATACAGCCGATGAGATGCTCTCATTTACACACGCCAACGTAAGAAACGCGTCGGACAGGTCCGTGTCTGGGGCTGGTACGTCAGTGGATGCTGGAAATTTCATTTTTGGGTAAAAATCCAGCACATGGTGTG